TCTGTCCATTGAGTATGATGTTGGCTGTAGGTCTTTCATATATGGCCTTTATTATGTTGAGATATGATCCTTCTATTCCTACATTGCTGAGCGTTTTTATCAGAAATGGATGCTGGATTTTGTCGAATGCTTTTTCAGCATCTATTGATATGATCATGTGGTTTTTATTCTTCATTTTGTTTATGTGGTGTATCACGTTTATTGATTTGCGAATATTGTACCAGCCTTGCATCCCTGGAATGAATCCCACTTGGTCATGGTGAATAATTTTTTGGATGTATTTCTGGATCCGATTTGCTAGTATTTTGTTCAGGATTTTGGCGTCTATGTTCATCAGGGATATTGGCCTGTAGTTTTCTTTCTTCGTAGTGTCTTTTTCTGGTTTTGGAATTAGAATTATGCTGGCCTCATAGAACGTGTTTGGAAGTCTTCCTTCTTCTTGAATTTTTTGAAATAGTTTGAGGAGAATGGGTGTTAGTTCTTTTTTGAATGTTCGGTAAAACTCCCCCGTGAAACCATCTGGGCCTGGGCTTTTGTTTGCTGGGAGAGTCTTGATTACCTCTTCAATTTCCTTAGTTGTTATTGGTCTGTTCAAGTTTTCTATCTCTTCCGGGAATAGTTTTGGGAGACTGTGTGTTTCTAGAAATTTGTCCATTTCGCTGAGATTGTCGAATTTGTTGCCATATAGTTGTTCATAGTAGTTGTTAACGATCTTTTGTATTTCCGTGGTGTTGGTTGTTACTTCTCCTCTTTCATTTCTGATTTTGTGTATTTGGGTTCTCTCTCTTTGTTTCTTGGTGAGTCTAGCTAAGGGTCCATCTATCTTGTTTATCTTTTCGAAAAACCAGCTCTTTGTTTCATTGATCCTTTGAATTGTTTTTTTGGTCTCTATGTCATTTATTTCTGCTCTGATCTTTACTATTTCCTTCCTTCTACTTGCTCTGGGGTTTTCTTTTTGTTTGCTTTCTAATTCTTTAAGTTGTGAGGTTAGACAGTCAATTAGAAATTTTTCTTGTTTTTTGAGGTAGGCCTGTAGTGCTATGAACTTCCCTCTCAGAACTGCTTTCGCTGCATCCCATAGATTTTGTGTTGTTGTGTGTTCATTTTCATTGGTTTCCAGGAAGTTTTTAATTTCTTCCTTGATCTCCTCGGTGACCCATTCATTGTTTAATAACATGCTATTTAGCCTCCATGTGTTGAAATGTCTTTGCATGTTCTTTGTGCAATTGATTTCTAGTTTCATGCCATTGTGATCTGAGAAGATGCTTGATATGATTTCAATCTTCTTGAACTTGTAGAGATTTAGTTTGTGTCCTATCATGTGGTCTATCTTTGAGAATGTCCCATGTGCACTTGAGAAGAATGTGTATTCTGTAGTTTTGGGGTGTAATTCTCAGTAGATATCTATTAAATCCATTTGGTCTAGTGCTTCATTTAGAGTCTCTGTTTCCTTGCTAATTTTTTGCCTAGAGGATCTATCCAGTGCTGTCAACGGGGTGTTGAAGTCCCCTGCTATGATTGTATTGTTGTCGATTTCTCCTTGGAAGTCCTCCAGAAGATTTTTAATATATTTTGGTGCTCCTATATTGGGTGCATATATGTTTATCAAGGTTATATCTTCCTGTTGGATAGATCCTTTCAATATTATGTAGTGGCCGTCTTTGTCTCTAGTTATGGTCTTCATTTTGAAATCTATTTTATCAGATATGAGAATTGCTACCCCAGCTTTTTTTTGCTTTCCATTTGCTTGGAAAATTTTTTTCCATCCCTTCACTTTCAACCTATGTGAGTCTTTTGTTGAGAGGTGGGTCTCTTGTAAACAACATATAGATGAGTCATGCTTTCTTATCCAATCAGCTACTCTGTGTCTCTTTATGGGAGCATTCAATCCATTTACGTTTAAGGTGATTATTGATATGTACTTATTTATTGCCATTTTTGTTTAGTGTGGTTCTATTTTTCTTCCCATTTCTACTGCTATTTACAGCAGTCCTTTTAGCATTTCTTGCAGTGCTGGTTTGGTGCTAATGTATTCCCTTAGCTTTTTTTTGTCTGGGAAGCTCTTTATTTGATCTTCTATTTTGAATGATAGCCTTGCTGGGTAGAGTAGTCTTGGATTCAGATTCTTGTTTTTCATGACTTTGATTACTTCATGCCATTCTCTTCTGGCCTGTAGTGTTTCTTGTGAGAAGTCAGCTGAAAGCCTTATGGGGTTCCCTTTGTAGGTAACCTGTTGCTTATCTCTTGCTGCTTTTAGGATTCTCTCTTTGTCTTTAATTTGTGGCATTTTAATTACTATGTGTCTTGGTGTGGGCCTGTTTGGGTTCTTCTTACTTGGGACTCTCTGTGCTTCTTGAACTTGAATGCCTTCTTCCTTCACCAAATTAGGGAAGTTTTCTCTCACTATTTTTTTGAATATATTCTCTATCCCTTGCTCCTTTTCTTCTTCTTCGGGGACTCCTATGATGCGAATATTATTACGTTTCCAGTTGTCCCATAGTTCTCTTAAGCTGTCTTCCTGTTTTTTAATCGTTTTTTTCCTTTTGTTTTTCTGATTGGTTGATTTTTTCTACCCTGTCTTCTAATTCACTGATCCGGTCCTCAGCTTCCCCTACTCTGCTTTGTAAACCTTCCAATGTGTTTTTCATTTCGGATATGTCATTTTTTATCTCTTCTTGTTGGTTTTTAATTTCCATTTGGCTTATTTTCAGTGTCTCTATGTCCTTACTCATGCTGTTCAGCTTCCTCAAGATCATGGCTCTGAATTCTAGCTCTGTTAACATGCCTAATTGCTCCACATTGATCTCATCTTCGGTGGAGGTCTCTTGCTCTTTCATTTGGCTTCTGTTTCTGTGTTTCACCATTTTGGCTATCACTGTGGGCTTTGGAGCCTGTCAAGTTCTCCCTGTGGGTGTTGGTGTTCTGCTGTTTGTGGCTCCCTCTCCTGTGTTTAGATGAGCGAGGGAGGACCCGCGTTGAACACCACTGTCAAGTCTTACTTTCCTGGTTAAAGTTGCCAGCCCAGGAAATGTACTGTTATCCTCTAGCTTTTTGCCTGGAGGCTAGCAGTCTAGGTTAATTGATGAGTTTTGGGTTGTCCGTTGATTGAAAAACTCCCTCTGGTGCTCAGCCAAGGGGCTTTCACGAGGGTGGGGCAGATGCTGGTCGTTAGTGAGCCTCAATTAACACTTCAATGGCCCACAGGGTGGGGTTGGATCTCCGAGGGAGGGGCTGCTGCCTCTCCCCAGAGCCCTGGGAAGGAGCAATGTGGCTACCGTCCTGAGTGGCTGCACTCAGCCAAAGCTCTGAGCGCCCTCCAAACCCTGAGTGTCCCGACACAGTTCCAGTCCAGTCTGCCCTCCCTCCGCCGGAGCCCAAGGTGAGTGGCTGTGGCTGTTTCAGCCTCTGTCCCGGCTGCGCTGTGGGGCCGCCTGGGAGTGTAACCCGCGGGCGCCGCTTACAGCTAAGGCTGCTGCCGAGCTGCCGACCGTGGGCTCCCAGCCCCGTCTCGCGCCTTCGCAAGCCTACCGGGATGGAGTCAGTGTCCCTCGTTGTATGGTCCTCGCAAGCTGCTTTTCTGTTGGTTTTTCCCGTCGATTTGTCTGTGTTATAGTTGTAATTCCAGTTTGGTTCTGGGAGACGGTCTGTGTAGCTCCGTTCACTCCGCCGCCATTTTTCCTTCCCCCCTCTTTTTTTTTTTTTTTAAATAGGCATCCTAAATGGGTGTGAGGAGGTATCTCTCTAGTTTTGATTTTCATTTCTCAAATGATTAGTGATGCTGAGCATCTTTTCGTGTGCTTGTTAGCCATTTGTATATCTTGCTTAGAGAAATGTTTATTCAAGTGTTTTGACCATTTTTAAATTGGGTTGTTTGCTTTTTGTAGTTGAGTTTTAGGAATTATGTATATATCTTGATATTGATCCCTTATCAACATATATAATTTGCAAATAGTTGCTCCCATTCTGTGGGCTGGCTTTTTTTCTCTGTGGATAGTGTAATATGATGTACAAAATTTTAAATTTTCATGAAGTCTAATTTGTCCATTTTAAATTTGTACCTGTGCCTTTGGTACAGGTTATATTCAAGAAATCACTGCCAAATCCAATGTCATGAAGCTTTTGACCTATGTTTACTTCTAAGAGTTTTATTGTTATAGATTTTATTTCTAGGTCCTTGATTCATTTTAAGTTAATTTTTGTATATGGTATTAGGTAAGGGTCCAACTTCATTTTTTTTTTTTTTGCATGTGGACATCCTGTTGTCCCAGTACCATATATTGAAAAGTCCGTCCTTTCCCCATTGAATAGTCTTGGCATCCTTGTCAGAAATCAATTGGTTATATATGGGACAATTTATTTCTGGGCTCATTGGTCCAAATGTCTGTCTTTATGAAAATGTTACACTATTTTGATTGTTCTAGCTTTGTAGTAAGTTTTGAAATAAGGAAGTGTGAGTTTTCTAGTTTTATTTTTCTCTTTCAGAATTGTTTTGGTTATTCGTGGTTCCTTGAGATTTCATATGAATTTTAGTATGGGTTTTTCTGTTTCAGCAAAAAACATCATGGGAATTTTGATAGGGATTGTACTGAATCTATAGATTGTTCTGGATACTATTGACTCTTTAACAATATTAAGTCTTTGAATCCCTGAACATGGGATGTGTCTTTATTTATTTATGTCTTCTTTAATTTCTTGCGGCGATTTTTTTTTTTTGTAGTTTTTTGTACAGTTCTTTCATGTCCTTGGTTAGTTCCTAAATATTTTATTCCTTGATGTTATTGTAAATGGAATTATTTTTATTTCCTTTTTAGATTTTTAGTTTGTTCATTGTTTGTGTATAGACATGCGAGTTTTTTTTGAGTGTCAGCTTTATATCTTGCTACTTTGCTGAATTCACTTATTAAATCTAGTATCTTTTTCCGTGGAGTTTTTAGGGTTTTCTATATATAAGATTATACCATCTGCAAACAGAAAATTTTACTTCTTCCTTTCCTCTTCAGGTGTCTTTTATTTCTTCATCTCGCCTAATTGCTCCAGCTAGAACCCCCAGCACTGTGTGGGACAGCGGCAGGGAGAGCGGGCATCCTTGCCCCTTTCCTGTCTCAGAGGAAAAGCTTTCAGCTTTTCACCAGTGAGTATTATGCATTCTGTGGGATCTTGTGTATGACTTTTACTATGTTAAGGTAGTTTTTATCTATTCCTACTTTGTTGAGTGTTTGTTTCTTTCTTTAATCTTGAAATTTTGAACCCTGAATTTTGTCTAATGCCTTTTCTGCATCAGTTGAGATGATCCTAGGCATTTTACCCCTTCCTTTTGTCGATGTGGCATATTTCACTGGTTGATTTTCTTTTTTTTTTTATCCTCACCCGAGGACATTTTTCCATTTTCTGTTCAGGTAGAGTGGGAGGGAGAGAGAGGAACAGAGAGAGAGAGAGAAACATCGATGTGAAAGGAACCCATCGAGTGGCTGCCACCCGCACAACCGACCAGGGCCGGGGACAAACTGCAACCGAGGTACTTGCCCTTAGCGGGAACCGAACCTGGGTTTCTCAGGACCGCAGGCCGACGCTCTAACCGCTGAACCAAACCGGCCAGGGCATCACTGGTTGATTTTCATATGTTAAACCATCTTCATATTTCAGGAATAAATCTCACTTGAATGTTGTATATAATCCTCTTATTATGCTATTGAATTCTGTTTGCTAGCATTTTTTGGGGGGAGTTTTGCATCAGTGTTTATAAGGGATATCAGTCTGTAGTTTATTTATTTTTGGAGAATTTCTGCTTTGCTTTGGTATCAGAGTAATGCTGGTCTCGTAGGGTAAGTTAAGAAGTGTTTCTTCTTCTTTAATTTTTTGGAAAAGTTTTAGAAGGATTGCTATTAATTTTTCTTTGCATGTTTGGTAGAATTTACCACACCTAGAATACTCTAAGGTGTGCTGTGTAGCTAGGAGGCAGGGAGCAGCCAGGAGAACAGCAGATTGTACTCTTGGGGGGCATCAAAATGATATAGATCCTAACTGTGTCATGGACTCTATCAGGAAGCCTGCTTGTGAGCCACTGGTGACTCCTCTCAGATACCCCCAACCTGGCCCACGGGTACCCCCAACACTCTGCACATCTTACCCACATTTCCCCTCCCCACCTTGTGACTGGCTCCCTGTGTGCCACCCTGATGGTGGTAAGAGGGAACCTTTGCAGCCAAGTAGTGAGCATGAGCAGAAAGTCAGCCCAGCTCTGCAGGATTGGGAAAACCCACACATGATCATGATAAAATACAGCAGCCATTTAGGATAAAAACTCGCAGCAAAATGGGAATAGAGGGAACATACCTCAACATAATGAAGGCAATATATGACAAATCCCTAGCCAATTTCATACTCAAAGGGCAAAAACTGAAAGTGTTTCCCTTAAGATCAGGAACAAGACAGGGATGTCCACTCTTATTCAACATAGTACTGGAAGTTTTAGCCATAGCAATCAGACAAGAAGAAGAAATAAAAGGCATTCAACTTGGAAAGGAAGAAGTATAACTCTCATTATTTGCAGATGACATGATATAGTATATTGAGAATCCTAAAGATTGTACCAAAAAAGTACTAGAACTGATAAATGAATTCAGTAAATTAGCAGACTACAAAATAAATATCCAGAAATCAGTTGCATTTTTATACACCAATAATGAACTATCGGAAAGGGAAATTGAGTAAACAATCCCAGTGAAAAAAATGGCAGCAGAATGAATGGAAGCTACACAGATGTTCTCCAAACTGGAATTACAACTAAAATAAAGACAAATCATCAGGAAATAACAACAAAAAAGCAGCTGGAGAGGACCATATAACCAAGGGCACTGAATCAAGTCACCTTGTACATCTGCAGAGGCATGAGAGGGTGGGCTGGGAGCCCAGAGATAGTATCATTTTTAGCTGTGAGCAGCTCCCTCGAAGTTAAAATCCCAAGCTAGCTCCACAGCACAGAGGGTTGGGACAGAGCACTAAATTAGCTACAGCCACTCATGGTGGGCTTCGGCAGAGGGAGGGAAGACTGAGCTGGAACTGTGTGGGGACACTCAGGATTTGAAGGGCGCTCAGAGTTTTTGCTGAGTTGTGGCCACACAGGACAGTGGCCATCTTGCTCCTTCCCAGAGCTCTGGGGAGAAGCAGCAGACCCTCCCTTGGAGATTTAACCCCACCCAGCTGGGCCAAAGAAATGCAAATTGCATTGACAACCAGCATCTGCCCCACACTCTGAAAATCCTCTTATGCTGAACACCTGAGGGAGTCTTGCATGCAGCTGTGGGCTACAACCCAAGGCTCATTCAAGTAACTAAGACTAATAGCCTCCAGGCAAAAAGCTAAAGGATAACTGAACTGTTTCTAGGCTTGTAAATCTACCCAGGTAAGTAAGACTTGACAGTGGTATTGAATGTGTGCCCTTCAACACTCATCCAAACTTAGTAGAGGGAGCCACAAACAGCAGAACACCAACATCCACAGGGAAAATTTGGCAGGCTCTAAAACCCATTGAGATAGCCAAAATGATGAAACAAAAAAACAAATCCCAAATAAAGAACAAGAGAACTCTATCAAAGATGAGATAAATGAAATGCAGTTAAGCAAATTATCAGAGGTAGAGTTCAGAGCCATGATCTTGAGGAAGCTCAACAGCATGTGTAAGGACATCAGCACCAGGGGTAAAGATATAGAAACATTGAAAACCAACAAAGTGGAAATGAAGAACAACATAGCAGAAGTAAAGAACACATTGAAAGGAATAACCAGCAGAGTAGAGGAAGCTGAGGACCAGATTAGTGAATTAGAAGACAGGGTATAAAAAAAATCAAACAATCAGGAAACCAAAAGGAAAAAAACAATTAAAAGACAGGAAGGCAGCTTAAAAAACTGTGGGACAACTGGAAACGTAACAACATTTGCATCATAGAAGTCCCCAAAGAAGGAGAAAATGAGCAAGGGTTAGAGAATATATTTGAAGAAATAGTGACAGAAAACTTCCCTAACTTGGTAAAGGAAAAAGGCTTTCAAGTTCAAGAAGCACAGAGAGCCCCAAGGAAGAAGAACCCAAACAGGCCCACACCAAGACACGTAGTAATTAAAATGCCACAAATTAAAGACGAAGAGAGAATCCTAAAGTCAGCAAGAGATAAGCAACAGGTTGCCTACAAAGGAACCCCCATAAGGCTCTCAGCTAACTTCTCAACAGAAACACTATAGGCCAGAAGGGAATGGCATGAAGTAATCAAGGTCATGAAAAACAAGAATCTGAATCCAAGACTACTCTCTCCAGCAAGGCTATCATTCAAAATAGAAGGTCAAATAAAGAGCTTCTCAGACAAAAAAGGGCTAAGGGAATATATTAGCACCAAACCAGCACTGCAAGAAATGTTAAAAGGACGGCTATAATTAGTAGAAGAAATAAAAAGAAAAATATAACCACATTAAACAAAAATGACAATAAATAAGTACATATCAATAATCACCTTAAATGTAAAAAGATTGAATGCTCTGATAAAAAGACACAAAGTATCTGAATGGATAAGAAAGCATGACTCATATATATGTTGTTTATAAGAGACCCACCTCACAACCAGACTCACATAAGTTGAAAGTGAAGGGATGGATAAAACTCTTCCAGGCAAATAAAAAGGAAAAATAAGCTGGAGCAGCAATACTCATATCTGATAAAATAGATTTCAAAATGAAGGCCATAACTAGAGATAAGAAGGCCACTACATAATACTGAAAGGATCTATCCAACAGGAGGATATAACCTTGGTAAACATATATGCACCCAATAGAGGAGCACCACAATTAATTAAAAGCTTATGGAGGACTCCAAAGGAGAAATCGACAGCAATACAATCATAGGAGGGGACTTCAACACCCCACTGACATCACTGGATAGATCCTCTAGACAAAAAATTAACAAGGAAACACAGACTGTAAATGAAGCACTAGATCAAAAGGATTTAATAGATATCTACAGAGAATTACACCCCAAAACTACAGAATTCACATTCTTCTCAAGTGCACATGGGACATTCTCAAAGACAGACCACATGTTAGGGCACAAACTGAATATCTACAAGTTCAAGAAGACTGAACTCATATCAAGCATCTTCTCAGATCACAATGTCTTAAAACTAGAAATTAATTGCAACAAGAACATACAAAGACATTTGAACACATTGAGGCTAAATAGCATGTTGTTAAACAATGAGTGGGTTACCAAGAAGATCAAGGAAGAAATTACAAAATTTCTGGAAACCAATGAAAATGAACACACAACAACACAAAATCTATGGGATGCAGTGAAAGCAGTTCTGAGAGGGAAGTTCATAGCACTACAGGCCTACCTCAAGAAACAAGAAAAAATTCTAATTGACTAACTTCACAACTTAAAGAACTAGGAAGCAAACAAAAAGAAAACCCCAGAGCAATAGAAGGAAGAAAATAGTAAAGATCAGAGCAGAAATAAAAGACACAGAGACCAAAAAACAAAAACAAAAACAAAAACAAAACAATACAAAGGATCAATGAAACAAAGGGCTGGTTTTTTGAAAAGATAAACAAGATTGATGGACCCTTAGCTAGTCTCACCAAGAAACAAAGAGAGAGAACCCAAATACACAAAATCAGAAATGAAAGAGAGGAAGTAACAACTGACACCACAGAAATTCAAAGGATTGTTAACAAATACTATGAACAATTATACAACAACACATTAGACAATCTAAGCAAAATGGACAAATTTTTAGAAACACAGTGTCTCCCCAAACTGAACCTGGGAGAGAGAGAAAACTTGAACAGAGCAATAACAACTAAGAAAATTGAAGATGTAATCAAGACTTTCCCAGGAAACAAAAGTCCAGGTTGGGATAGCTTCACGGGGGAGTTTTACCAAACATTCAAAGAAGGACTAACACCCAGCCTCCCCAAACTGTTCCAAAAAATTCAAGAAGAAGGAAGATTTCCAAACTCATTTTATGAGGCCAGCATCATTCTAATTCTAAAACCAGATAAAGACACTACAAAGAAAGAAAACTACAGGCCAATATCCCTGATGAACATAG